GGAGTTGGTTGCATTAGAGAATACGTGACTTCCAGTTAACATGACAAATGTTAACCTATGAATCAGTTTTCTGCTTGCAATTCAAAAATAATTACTATTGAGCGGACAGATACTCCCAGGTGTAAAATGCTTGAGAATAAATAGTCTCAGCTCCCATTTGTGAGCCTGGTCACCATCTTTATTCCCAGTATATTGACAAACCTGGCAGGCATGCCAAGAACTATTTCTATGAATTAAGTTAATTTTTTTCCCCTGTTTGTAGGAAATGAGCAACTTTTTCAATTTCCTAAGGGGAAAGCAACAAATTCTATATGTAGGCCATTGGAGGAAGCAATTTATTCTGTCAGGTATTTCTACAGTTTTAAATTTCTCAATCTTATTTCTTATGTAACATTTTTCTGACTAATTATTTCCTTACAAGGCCAATTACAGAGCATAGATTGTGAGTCATAGTTTTAATATTCATGGCCAAAAAAGAATATTGGTCTCAACAGAAAAGATAGACTTTAAATCAGCAAAGAGAAATTAATTCAGCTTTCCAAAGCTGATAGCCTCAGGAAAGGCTGGGGCTGCAGTTCCCAGAATTCCCACTTGGTATTGTAGAAGAGAATTCTGGGAGTTATATTCTCAATATACAGGTAGTCCTCATTTAGCGATTACCCCATTTGGCAGCCATTTGCAGTTACAGAGAGATTGAAAAAGTAACTTTATGATGGATCCTTGCATTTATGACCTTTGCAGGTCTGTAAAGCAAAGGAAAGCTGAGGTTAGATCATAAGCACTTCAGCTTAGCCACCACTTCGCTTAATGACCAAATTGCTGGTCCCACTTGAGGTTGATAAATGGGGGCTATCTGTACCTGGGTTTCAAACTTACTTGGATGAGTTTTATGACAGGGTCAACCAAGACTTTACCTTTCAGATAAAAGACAGAAGGTCTATTTCTTCCTCCCTTGCAGAGATAGAAATAGAATATTCATATTATTATTCATTATTGATCATGATAGATAGATGATAGATAGATAGATAGATAGATAGATAGATAGATAGATAGATAGAT